CCACCCGCCACTCTTCTCCCTCCTCCTTCCCCACTTGGCTCGTGTGCCAGTTCCCCCAAGCCACCCTGGGGACAGCGTCTCACCTCTGTAACGGTGGCACTCGGGGCACCGCAGCTTTTAATGGGGGCCTCCGGGTCTCCTCCGCCACCTGCCAGGGTTCCGGAGTCCCCTGTTTTGGAGCTTCTGCATGCTGTGACCATCACCCTTTTCTGAGAGAGGGGGAGTGCTCACCAGACTTGAAAGGTGGGGCAGTGACCTGGTGACAGCTAAGCACAGAGCCAGGCCCAGAGACTGGCGGGGCTCACACCCCTGCGAGGCTCACACGCCTGCAAGGCTCACACCCCTGCGAGGCTCACACCCCTGCGAGGCTCACACCCCTGTGAGGCTCACACCCCTGGCGAGGCTCACTCCCCTGCGAGGCTCACACCCCTGCAAGGCTCACACCCCCTGGCGAGGCACACGGGGAATTTAGCGTCCACCCGCCTTAGCCCGTCTGTTTCCTCCTCTTGGAGCTCTGCGTTCACGCTCACCTCTCTCCGTTCCAGCATGGCCAACCTGAAAATTGAGCTGTCGAAACTGGACAGTGAAGCCTGGCCCGGGGCGCTGGATGTTGAGAAGGAGAAGCTGATGCTGATTCATGAGAAAGAAGAACTTCTGAAGGAGCTCCAGTTCGTCACTCCGCAAAAACGCACCCGAGACGAGCTGGAGCGCCTGGAGGCCGACCGCCAGCGGCTGGAGGCGGAGCTGCTGTCCGTGCGGGGCGCCCCCAGCCGGGCGCTGGCCGAGAGGTGGGTGTCCCCGGGGCCGGGCCGGGAGGCCTGTGGGTGTGTCTCAGCCATGCTGGTGCCCTGCCCCTGGGCTCGGTGCTCTCCGTGCACTGGGCCCGGTGGCTCTTCCTGTCCAGTCATCAAGCACCCGTCCGCTGTCCCTCCAAGTCCCGCGTCCCGCAGCTCCTCCGGTCTGTGAGGATCGGGAAGGTGCCGAGGCAGATGCTGAAAGCGAAGGACGCAGAGCGTCACTGACCGTGGCTGGTAACCGTACCGTAAACCAAGCCCCTGATGAGCGAGGGTACCTGGACTGTGGGAGCCGCGAGGCTTCCTCTTCTGGGTTCATTACTCACAAGGATGCAAAAGGAGTTACTTCTCATTTCACAAGGAAGGTCAGCTCGCTCCCTGGCCCTCTCCCCAGGTCACAGAATGTCCTCGTGGACTTTGTCCGTTGAGAGCCTCCTCTGCAGGAGGTGACATGTAAAGCGGTTTTCTCATCTCTGCGGGAAGGTGTGAATTGATCATTTAATCTTAAAAATCCGGTTCTGCAGTCAGATCAGCAGGACTGTTAGGCAGGGGACCCCAGGGTGTCGGTGTGAAGGCGCACATCTGCACCTGATGACTGACCGCCAACATCTGTGCCAGCTGTGGACCAGGGGGCACCTGAGCCACCACACACCCTCAGGCCAACAGGGGAGGAGCAGTGTCCAGTCCCAGGTGACAGGAAAGAAACTCACATTCGTGTAATCCCAGTGACGGGAAGTAACGTCCCAGGACCCAGCCGGACCCAGTCCCTCTGCTTTTTGTACCTTCTCGGCTCCTTGCCTTCTAATTCCTTGTGCTCTATAAGTGTGTACGGTCATGTGTCTACGTAATACCAAACATTTGAGTCGGCAGCGTGGCTCAGTGGTTGAGTGTTGACCTATAAACCAAGAGATCACAGCTCGATTCCTGGTTGCAGGTTCGATCCCCAGTGTGGGGCGTGCAGGAGGCAGCTGATCCATGATTCTCTCTCATCATTGATGTTTCTCATCTCCCTTCCTCTCTGAAATCAATAAAAATGAAACAGTGAGGTGGGGAGGATGGAGGAGGGGAAAAATAAGTCTCTGGACATCCCAGGTTAGGTGGCATCGTGGGTGGACTTGCCTACCCTGCGTCTAACCGCCTTGGGAGAACTGGCCTTTGTAAGTGAAGATGTTGGTCAAGATAACGCGCAGCTGCAGCCTCACACCTTAGGGAACAGGAGAGGGTGTGCCAAGGGGAAGCCTCGCAGATGCCGCCCCTGTTCTGTCTTAAAGGACCGCAGCGCCTCACCGGTCCCTCTCCTTCCCCTGGGGATGGAGCCCGCAACCCGGCATGTGCCCTGACCAGGAATCGAACCGTGACCTCCTGGTTCGTTGGTCGATGCTCAACCACTGAGCCACACAGCCAGACGGATTTTACATTTTAGCTTGAAACACACTAGCGTCATGCTGTTGCCTCCTTAACTCCCCAGAAAGAGCCTTCGTTCGCTTGTGCACTATTTAGATTTTTCCGTAATTAGAAAGGCTTCTGCTGCTCAGAAGACTGGGCTCTGAGGAGACATGGGGGCTTTCTCCAGACCTTCCTTCCTTTCATCTGTTTTGTATTAATATTTTTCCTTGTTGAGTTCTGATTTATGTTTAAGAGATTTAAAAAGTACGGCCTGTACTCCTTTTCAAAATCCACCTTTGAAAGCTGTGAATTAAGAATTTACCACCCTTTGAAGTCCTAAACAAAATGACAAGAATTACTTTTTTTACTTTAACATGTAATGAAATTGTGTTGGTGACACATCAAAGGAAAAATACCTATAAATAAAATATGGGCATGTTTTCTTACTGCCTAAAAACATACATAACATTTCAAAGGAGCTGGAAATTAGGGAAATTTTCTTTTTCTTCCCAGGAGAGGAGTTAATGTTTATATCGCCACCTTGCAGGGCGTGAGGCTCTGAGTGGGCTGGTCTGTGGTGACGTCTGAGCGCGCCCCACACACACTCTCCCCACTTGGTTGCCTCCACAGCCTCACAGGCAGGCTCAGGGGGGCTGTGCTCCCCATTGCACAGATGAGTAGGCTGAGGCCTGGACGAGTGGCTCTCCTGAGGACGCACGGCCAGCACAGCACCAGCCTGGACACCGTGGTGTTCCGCGTCCCCTGCCCCCCTCTGAATGGCTCGTTTCCATGACGTCTGAGGGCCCTGAGATGACGCAGCGGCCCCCAGGCAGGCTCCTAGCTGCATAACCTGGGAGCTGAGTGTGTTTTCAAATGGCTTCTTCGCGTACACAGTTCCGGAACATCTGATTTTCACAAACCCCCGACTCCAGTGCAGTGAAGCCACGTGCACGGAGCTCCATGGTGATCTGGTGCGGCGATGGCTGTCCTGCGGACGGAGGGACAGTCATAGCTGTGTCTCTCTCGCACAGACATTTGGACTAATTGGTTTCTTAATCACTAACGTTCCCATCGAATTAAGATTGGAATTGTTATCACTAAACATTCCTTTGGCACAGTCTTACCTATTCAGTACCTCGGTGACCTTTTATGATTCTCGTCATTGCTGTTACATTGTTCTAGGACTGGGAGCCCAGCACGGGCCTGTGGGAGCCTGTGACCTCGGTTAGGGCCTTGTTTTCCTTCTCTCTCTCTCTCTCTCTCTCTCTCTCTCTCTCTCTCTTTCTCTGTAATTCACAAGAGCGTGAGGTTTTTCGCCCATAGAAAACCAAATTCACAGCATCCTCAGTTATGCGAACGAGGCGCTTCTGCCCACTTCGCTTCCTGCTGGGGCTGCTCCCTCACCATCAAGTTCACAGGCGCCCCCTTCATGGCGCGTAATGTTTGTATGATAATAACCTTTCCCTTCAGTCTCCGTGTTTTATCATCGTCATTTGAAAATATAAATTCATTTCTGTGGTTTTTTTCTAGATTGAAACTGGAAGAGCGAAGGAAGGAGCTGCTCCAGAAACTCGAAGAAACGACCAAATTAACTACTTATCTGCACTCAGAGCTGAAAAGGCAAGTCTCTCCGGTTCTCGGTTCTCGGGGGGACGTCTTTTCCTGACTGCATTCAGGAATGTTTTCATCCACCTTTGATTGCTTTTCTCCTTATGTTCAACTGTTTAAAAGAAAGGAATGTAAGTTATACTAGTACAATTCAAACTTGAATGACCAAACTTAAGGTTGCATAGATTTTTCTTTCATGAACCTCCAGGTGGCATTTGAAACACATTTGAAATATCTAGTGGGAAACAGGTGTATTTAGCTTCAGTACACACTTAGGGAAATGACATATCTTGTCCACATCAGCCCTTCTTTTGAAAGGGGGGCGGCAGCTAAGTCCGAGAACATCGTCACTATTTAAACACACACAAGGGGAGGTGGAGGAGCCCAACTCTGTCAGCTCTGCTTCCTCACCGCGCCTCACTTCTCTCAGAAAGTGCCATTTGTTCAGCAAAGGGACTGCACTAGCACTTGGTCCTGTTTACCCGTCTGTATTTTAAATGACATCCTTGCTTCTGGATCCCTGTGCGGGTAGATTTGCCGATAGGGATTTGATTCCCCCGCTTTTGTGTCTTTTGCGAGAGAGGGGTGGTTTTGAATACGAGTAGGGTTACTGCTGAAAGAGTAGCAGAGAGCCAGGTTGCAGTGTTCATGAAGAAGCCCATCACGGGCTGTTCTGGCCTCACGGGGTCTGAAGAGCCAGCGGTGCTGGGGCTGGGCCTGGGCTTCCTGATGAATCCAATTTTGACCATCGCGCTTCTCCTCTCGCAGCCTCTCCGCCAGCACCCTGTCCATGTCGTCCGGGAGCAGCCTGGGCTCCCTGGCCTCCAGCCGGGGGTCCCTGAACACCTCCAGCAGGGGCTCGCTCAACTCCCTCAGCTCCAGCGAGCTCTACTACACCAGCCCGGGCGACCAGCTCGACGTGGACTATCAGTATAAACTGGACTTCCTCCTGCAAGAAAAGGGCGGTTACGTCCCTTCCGGGCCCATCACCACCATCCATGAGAACGAAGTGGTCAAGTCCCCCAGCCAGCCCGGCCAGAGCGGTCCCTGCGGGGCGGCCGCCGCGGGCCCTGCGCCCCCGCCGACCGAGGCCCCCAAGTCTGTGACGTCCCTGTCCTCGCGGTCCTCCCTGTCCTCCCTGTCCCCTCCCGGCTCCCCCCTGGTGCTGGAAGGCACCTTCCCCATGTCTTCCCACGACGTCCCTCTCCACCGGTTCACCGCCGACTTCGACGACTGCGACGTGAGCAGCCACTTCGCAGACATGGGCCTCGGCGACAGTCAGATCCTGCTGGACACTGACGCCGGAGGCGCGTCCCAGGCCCTGTTAGAGGACAAAGACCTGCGCGAAGGCGCCAGGGAGCCGTTCTACGAAGGCGCCGCAGGTACCTGTGGGCGTCGCTGGCCTGGTCCCCGCTGGGCCGTCTTAAGGGGAATGATGGGAGGGTGACTTTTTCCACTTACACCAATGGTGCTAGTCCCCCTGCTCTTTTTTAATTTGCTTCGTCTAAGGAGTGTTTAGGTGATATCCCTAGACACTTTTCCTTATCAAATAGGAATCGCCTTCCCTGGGTGATGATTGAGTCACTGGTTTCTGCTCTGCGTGTGGCAGTGACCGGGACGTGCTCTGCGGTTCTGGAAGGACAAGGCCGAGAGGAGGGCTTTCTGTGCAGAGCTGGCCTGAACCAGACGAGAACCAAAGCCATTAGCATCCTGCTCATTGGTGCTGGCTCGGTGTTCAGGCTGCCCCGGGGATTCTGTACAAACACGGTTTTGTTTCCGGCCAGACGCTCGCAGACACGCTCCCTCTGCCTGGTGTAGGGTGGCCCAGGGACGGTGCCGCGCTGCCACCTGCTGGCCTCCGTGCTCCTTGCAGCCGGGCGGGAAGCCGCTCAGACAGGAACGGAGACTTCTCTTTTCCGGGATAGTTTCCCTCTGCAGAGCCGATGTGGCTGCAGAGAGGACAGTGGTGCCCTGTTGGCACGCGAGCACAGCTGTGGTCGAGGAGGGCGGTCTGCCATGGCACTGGCCTGAAACGAAACGGAAGTAGCCCCCGCGTGGCCCCGGAGCCCTTCCACACTGCACGCGTGACTGCCTGCGACACGCCAGAGCACGGCCTCCTCGCGGGCGTTTTCTTGCTGTTTCAAGGAGCCTGTTTAATTGGTCTTCATGGTCCTAGCTAGGAGTCTAAGTATTACCTGATTGGCCAGTTCAGATGTTTAAGGAGATAGGAGAATCCATCTTGTTTGCGTGGTTTCCATCCCTGAAGACGGAGACCCCGCCCGCCCGGGGCCTGGGGCGGGGGCAGAGGCGGGCACAGGAGAATCTGTGTGGCTCATGTGCTGCTGCCTGGCCAGTGCCAGAGCCCAAGTCACACTTTTCTGAAATAATCAGCCACAAGGAAATAGCGCAGGAGTGGGGCTCCCACAGTGGCTCCAAAGCGCAAAGCCCGGGGTGCCAGGGGCTCCCCCTGGAGCCAGCCTCACCTGCTCGCATGGTGGCTGCCCCGCTGGCTGGCGTGTACTGGCCAGCAGGGCACCCCGTCTCCCCAGGGTTGTTCCTCCTGGGAAAGGGGGAAGGTGCGTCCCTACTCCTGAGGGCCTGGAGGAGGATGCGTGTCCATGAGGCATCCAGCGGGCGGGCTGTACCCGCACTGGTTTATGGGAATTATGATGACATGTGGCGAGAGGGGTCATCCTCTGCCAGCCCTGGTCCTACCACAAACCTCTGGCATCACGAGAGGAGAGGGAGAAGCAGGTGCTTTGTGCCGCTCTTCTGTGCGTGGACGAAGGGCCTTCCACTTCTTGGACGTGTCTGACCTTTGTGTGGGGCGGGCGGCTCAGCCAGGGACGGTGTCTGCCCCCTCCGTGCCCTGGAGTCTCCTGCGGGTGCAGCCGGGTTCCTTTTATACTCACTCTGCTCCCAGCAGTCCCTGGCTGGGGACAGACAGGAAGCTGAAATAAGTCCCCGTCCTTTATGGGCAGCTCTCTCATGTCAGAGTCGGTGTCAGGCCGCCCGGTTGCTCCTGGGACTGATCGATAAGCCATGTGTCACCCTCACCCCTCCCGTGGAGGGTGAGCGGAGAGAAGGCACTCCGTCCTCCAGAGGGGAAGCAGTCCCACCGCCAGCCATCAGCGCGTCACCTGAAGCCGTAACCCCTAACCTCTTTCTGAGATGTACAGTCAGGACGCAGAAGCGGGAGCACACCAGGGCCAGGAGGTAGAGATCAGCGGCAAGTGGTCCTTGGTGCCAAAGACTCAGGAGCACAAAGGTTTTATTTAAAAAAAAAAAAATGACATTAGCTGATGAGCAATTCTCTATGTGGAGGACTTTCCCTCTCTGACCTCTACGGAGATGTAGGCCATGCGTGTGGACAGGGGGAGCCGTGGGAGATGTAGGCCATGTGTGTGGACAGGGGGAGCCAGGGGTCCTTTCCTGCCGGGCGCTGGGCGCTCGGTCTCTGATGCTGGGGGGCGGGTGGATCCCCCCACCCCCACGCGCGTGGTTCCTGCGGTGAACGCCTACACCAGACGCGAGGGCAGTGCGCAGTGTGCAGTTCACGCCTCAGACTGGTTCTGGACAAAGGAAAGCCACTTCTTCATCAGACTCAGGCCAGGGACTGTCCCGGGACCGTGTCAGTCACGGAGCCTCGGGCCACCACGCCCGCTGGTGTGAATGGTCACCTCCTTGCTTCTGGGGGGGTTCAGTTTGGATCTCAGAACCACACCGTGTGCGTATTTTACACTTAATGTGTCCTGATCAGAAACCTCATGAGTGCCCTCTCCCCTCAGACGTGGAAAAGGCGGCCCCCAAAAGGAGAGGCGCGCACTTGCTCGGGGAGAGGATGGCGTGCGTGTCGGCGGCCGTGTCGGACGAGTCGGTGGCGGGAGACAGCGGCGTCTATGAAGGCTTCGTGAAACAGTAAGGCAGCACTGAGGAAACGTGTGCCTGCACATGTCAGTCTGTCAAAGATGGTCCGCAGCCAGGGACAGACACGCATTTCAGCCAGGAAGGGACAGCATGTCAGCCAGGGAGGGACACATGTCACAGGAACAGACATGCATGTCAGCCAGGGAGGGACAGCATGTCACAGGAACAGACATGCATGTCACAGGGAGGGACAGCATGTCACAGGACAGACATGCATGTCACAGGGAGGGACAAGCAGGGGCTGTCCTTCCTCAGACACGTCTCCTTGAGACTTACCAGACTTGGATGAGAATGCTGGAGGGGCTGGCCACCTGCGTAGCCATCAGCTCCCGAGTAGGTTTTGGGAGCTGGGAATGTGTGCAGGGGTGCAGTGTACCCCACGGAGGCACCAGAAAGTCGTTCCTCTAAAGCAGTGGTTCTCAACCTTCCTAATGCCGCGACCCTTTAATACAGTTCCTCATGTTGTGGTGACCCCCAATTTCATTGTTACAAATTGAACATAATTAAAGCATAGTGATCAATCACAAAAACAATATGTAATTATATATGTGTTTTCCGATGGTCTTAGGCGACCCCTGTGAAAGGGTCGTTCGACCCCCAAAGGGGTCACGACCAACAGGTTGAGAACCGCTGCCCTAAAGGGTCGGAGACAGACCCTCCTGACAAGATGAGGGAGAGCTGCCTGAGCGTCCCCGGGTGCTGGGAATTGAGGTTTTCACTCAAGTTGGTCCAGTGGCAGATGGTAACCATACCATCGAGCTCCCCATTAATGAGCCGCTCTCCTGCGCCCCTGTCTCCGGTTCCCAGACCCAGTGAAGTAGGAGACGTTGCCTACGGTGAAGAGGATGCTGGTGTCGTCATGGAGACGGCGCAGGTGCAGATCGGGCTCAGGTAAAGCTGTGCACGGGTAGGGACGGGCCTAGAATTCAGTGCGGGGACCACCGGCCTGGGCGCTCTCCTCGCTTCATCAGCTTCTCTTCCCACAGATACGATGCGAAAAGGGCCAGTTTCATGGTGATTATAGCACAACTCCGGAATCTCCATGCCTTCCTGATACCTCATACTTCAAAAGTGTAAGTAAACCAGTGAGGAGCAAATGGCGGCCATCAAAACCGTCCACAGGGGACATTTGCACTGTCACCAAGCGGTCCCTCCGGCAGACGCGTGCAGACACGGCGCCGGGCGCCGGACCTTCCAGCAGCAGATAGACCAGAGGAAGGGGGAATGTAAAGAAGCATTTGGGGTTTTGATTGTTGTTCAGCCGATTCATTATTAAGAACAGGAACCAGGACTTTTTATCTCACTTTTCAAGCAGAAAACTCTGTAAAACGCTGGGCCACGTGTGGCAGGGACTGCGATGCTCAGCCTTGACCTCGAGCCCCAGAAAATGGCCTGCAAAGACGGGGACCAGGATGACATGGCCTTAAAACAGCTGCTTTTCCTCCAACTCAGAACTCACTGTTGATTGCGAGTTACCGCCTGCGGAGTGTGCCTTTGGGGGCTCCTGGCCACAGGCTGGAGGGGAGCCCTGCAGGCGAGAGGAAAGCACCCCCTCCTTTCCCTGTGCCATTCGCTCTAAACCACGAAGAACCTGTTTCCACGGGAACGTTTAGGGTTGCGTAGTGGTTCTGAGGCCGCTGGTGCATAGCACTGAGGTCTGGAGAAGGAGCAGCCCTCCCCTCCCCCCAGCTCTCTTCGTGCTGGTCCCCGGAGGCAGGGGAAGATGCTGCTGACCCCAGCCTCAGCCGCAGCCCCGGGCCCAGCAGGTTCTAGTGCTGAAGCTCCACGGTCAGTGTGGACATAACACACAGCCGCTGTGCCTTCCTCAGTCCGCGTGTGCGTTTGCAGAGTGTGTCATGGAGAGGCATCTCCTAGAACACGCCTCCCACAGGCCTGGCCGTGGGCGGGGAGGGGCTCAGTGGATGTTCTCTTCCTGGGATTTAAAAGGAAGCATCTCGTGCAGTTTCCAAGAGTTGTGAGTCCTCATAGAATGTGCGCTCAGGAACTTTACTTTAAGGTAGTATTACAAGTTGTTTCTCTCTAACTTCTGAATTTTGCAAAGCATGGAGTCTAACACAGGTTGTCATTCTGATGCTTCTGAGATGCTAGACTGGGCTGTGGAAGTCCATCTGTTTTAAGCTTTGTCCCAGAATGCTCCTCGGCCCTGCTCCTCTGGCAGGACAATGTGTTGCATTCCGGGGACGTGCTCACCGCCGTCTCTCATTAAGGACTCAGGGTGAGGCTCTTGGGACCATGTCACCTAGTGGGTCCCTCCCTCCCCAGGCTCAGAACTCACTTACAGTGGAGCTGGCTGTACATGAGCAGGTGGGGCGTTCAGCACGTCTGTCCCATGGTGTTGTCTGCCTTCGCCTTCCTGCCACGTGCCCTGGCTGTGGCCTGGGGGCGTGGCTGGCTGGGGCCTGTGGGGCATGTCAGGCTGTGCCCTATGGGACGTGTCAGGCTGTGGCCTGTGGGGTGTGGTGGGCTGGGCCCCGGGGGCGTGGCAGGCTAGGGCCCCATGCTGGGCACTGGTGGCACGGGTGAATGGGTGGGCAGGCTGCAGGGCCCTGAAGTCGTCTGCTCTCTCGTCTCTGCAGGTATTTCAGGGTTGCTCTGCTCCCCTCCTCCACGGACGTCAGCTGTCTGTTTCGAACAAAGGTGCACCCGGCCACGGAACCCCTTCTGTTCAGTGACATGTTCCGAGTGGCCATCTCGCAGGCGGCCTTGCAGCAGAAGACGCTGCGCGTGGACCTGTGCTGCGCCCGCGCACACCGCGAGGAGGAGTGCCTGGTGGGTGGCCCCGGTCCCGCCCCTGGGACCCTCGCCCGGACACCCCCAGGGTTTCTAGTTGCTTTGTGCCACCCCGACGTCACCACACACCCGCCCAGGGCCTCTGACACACCCAGTGGCTGTCTCAGCTTCCATGTGAAGGAGTGATCTCAGGTTTTCGTTCTTATTCCAGACCTTTGACCTCTGCTTCTGCGTGGTGACTCTGTAAAGGCTGCTTTCCCTTCCTACCCTCTGACCTCTGTCTGTCTGTCACCTGGGAGCTTGTTACTCAGTACGAGTCTGTGCTGGGTGCCCTGTACATAATATCTCAGGAAATCCTCATCACTTGTATAAAAAAGGTATAGTCGCCTCTATTTTCAATAAAGAACCACAGAGAGAGGTAATGTACAGCCACCAAATAACCCCACACACAATTCACTGTCACAAACGTAAATTGAGCAAGACACTGAGTATAGAGTCCCTGTGTCAGTTCACTCTCCCAGCCTTGGTAGCGGAGCATCAGGAAGACATGTGCGATGTTAGGGCAATATGATATTTAAATGCTAAAGCAGAAGACTTCGTACAACTGACAGTGACTTTAACACACTGTTGTGCATCGCACCAGAAAACCATTCCATACGAGTAAAATACGGTGCTCCAATGCGCTAGTGAACGGTGGGTCTCTCGCCGAGCCTTTCCCGCGGTGCAGGGGAGACACAAACGCCTGTCCCCACGCACAAAGCTGAAAAGAGTGAAAGATCTCTTACTCATATTTTGTCTGTATATAAAAATGCCTGGTACTCTCTGACAGTGGAGACAGTTAGAAAGAAGCAGAGATGCCCTGGCTGGTTTGCTCAGTGGAGAGAGCGTTGGCCCACAGAACGAAGGATCCAGGGTTCAATTCTGGTCCAGGGCACATACCTCAGTTGCAGGCTCCATCCCTGCCCTGGTTGGGGCGTGTTCAGGAGGCAACCAATCCATGTGCCTCTCTCACATCCATGTTTCTCTCTCTCTGTCTCTCCCCCTCCCTCCCACTCTCTCTAAAATATCAATGAAAAAATATCCTCGGGCGAGGATTAACGAAAAAATTTTAAAAAGCAAGAAGCAAAGATAGGCTAAGTAGGCTGTCAGAAAGGCTTAGTATAAATATATGTGTTAGGAGCTCCATAAAGTTAATAAATATGTTAAGTGATCTTCTTATAAAATGATACAGTTTAATTTAGATCCTGGCTGAAAGTGTGATTTGGTGAAATATTAAAACTGTTAACCTATTTTTTTTATAGTCTAACTTAAAGAAAAATTTTTCTAATTTCTCATTTAAGAATCACCATGGAGTTTTTTTGTTTGTTTTTACCTTTTTCAGTAGATAATGGACTTTTGTAAATAATAATCAGATCACTCATAACATACGATGTATTATGGTTTATACGTAGTCATTTGTATTTGTATTTTTAAACTTTAAAAAAAAATTTCACACTTACAAAATGTTGCATGCTTAGTCATTAGGTTGTGGCAAAACAGTATCACACAAAACAATCCCATAATTGGCTTTTGTTTTTTTAATATTTTTTAATTGATATCAGAGAGGAAGGGAGAGGGAGAGAGAGATAGAAACATCAGTGATGAGGGAGAATCATTGATCGGCTGCCTCGTGCACACCCCACACTGGGGATCAAGTCCACAACCCAGGTGTGTGCCCTAACAGAGAATCAAACCAGTGACCTTCTGGTTCATAGGTTGACGCTCAACCACTGAGCCACACTGGCTGGGCCAGAGTTGGCTTTTAGATTGGGATCATTTCTTATTCATTCACACCTGAAAACATAAGACATCTAAAGGTTTTTAAAAAAATGTAATGCTTTATATCATGAATATTGCTTTTTTTTAACCCTAAAACAAGCTTGCCCTATAATCTTAATTATATCAGGAGCAGATGTGGATTTAAACATTCTATCTCCTCTCTTTTCTTTCTCTCGCCTCCCACAGGCTGGAACTCAGATCAGTCTGGCCGATTTGCCGTTTTCCAATGAGATTTTCACTCTGTGGTATAATCTGCTTCCTTCTAAGCAAATGCCCTCTAAAACGAATGAAGAAGAACACGAGGATTCAGTATTCCAACCAAACCAGCCACTGGTGGAGCCCATAGACCTGGTGAGTCAAAATGAGAGAAGAAGGTCATTGCGGTTTAATAAACTAACACGGGATAGAAGGCCGTGATGCCAACGTGCTTCATTCACTCTCGCTATCCTCCCTTCCTCCCGCCTCCTAAGAGGAAGGAAAGATAATTTCCCACTGTTTCAAGTTGATAAAGAATCGCTTGTTTCTGCTCACACTTCCTCCCATAAACATAGCCTGACGTGGAGGCGCGTTGTTTTGGGTGACATGAACAACCTTTTGACTTAAGTTTATATTTTTACACGTGGTGTTCATTGTCAAGTTATACACTTGAAACTGTTACATTTTTTGCAGAGGTTAAAATATAACCTTAGTTGTAACATCAAGCTCCACAAATATTTTCTATTACAAAGTGTGTTGTAACCAACAGTCACGCTTCACTACTTCACATCACTACTTCACAGAATTGACTAAGGGGCTCGTCACCGATCTGGCATCTGTGGGTGCTGCTGCTGAGTCACGTTTATAGACTGTCTGTGAGGGAAGACCTTACAGCGTGAGTCAGATGATTAAAGCAACAGGGCTCAGCTGGTCATCTGCGCTGACCCCATGGGCACTGTGGTGGGCGGAGGGAGACGGCGTGTGGGAGAGCCCACGTGACACACCAGCTTCGTGGTCGACACTCAGGCGTTCAGAGTGCTTCCATCACGTCCCCGTGTGCAAGCTTCTTCATAAGCTTTATGCCGTGTAATTCACATGCCATACAGTCCACCCCTTTAAAGTGGACGGTTCCCCATCTGGACCACACAGTTCAGTAGTTTTTAGTTGATTCACAGCCGTGTGCAACCCTCACCACGTCTAACATTAGAACATCGCATCCTCCCAAAAGGGAGCGCGTAGCCTTTAGCTTACAGGCACTCCCAGTTCTGACCCCTGCACCCAAGACAACCATTCATCTTCCTTCTGTCTATAAATTAGTTAATTGTGGGCATTTCATACAAATGGAGTAATGCAATACTTACTCTCTTGTGGCTGTCTTCTTTCACTTAGCATACTGTTTTCAAGATATACCCATATAGTAACATGTATTAGTGCCTTGTTATTTCCAAGTAATATTCCACTGTAGGGATATACCACCTTTTATGTATCTGTTCATCAGCTCATGGCCATTTGGGCTGTTGATATTGTTTTACTCTTATTAATAACGCTGCTATGAACGTTTGTATAAACTTATATGGGACATGTGTCTTCATTTATCTCGGGGACATACCTAGGAGTGGAATGGTTGGGTCAAATGTTGAACATGATTCTAGGTTTCACATATTGAGGAGCTGCCAAACTGTTTCCCAAAGTGGCTGCGCCATTTTATATTCTCGCCAGACCGTCTGAGGTCCGTTTCCCAACCCTCGCCCATGGGTTAATCTGTCTTTTTCACTCCAGCCAGGCTAGTGGGGAGGAAGGGGTTTCTCTGGGTTCATTCTCATTTCCCTAATGACTAAGATGTGGGGCATATTTTCATGGGCTGGTCATTAGTATATCTTTTTTTTTTTTTTAGAACTGTCTATTCAGATCCTTTGTTTGCTTTTTAAATGGGTTATTTATCTTTTTATTATTGAGTTATGGGAGTTCCTCATATATTCTTGATAGAAGTCTCTTATCCAGTAAATGATTGCAAATATTTTCTCTCATGCTTTGGGTTATCGTTTCATTTTCTTGATGGTTTTATTTGCAGTAAAGTTTTAAATTGTGATAAAAATCAAATTGTGTATTTTTTCTTTCATTGCTTATGTTGTTGATGTCACATCTAAGAAGGCTTTGCCAAACTAAACATCACAAAGATTTACTCCTGTGTTTTCTCCTGAGAGTTTTAAAGTTCAGTTTTATTTTTAGGCCTCTGCTTCATTTGTTTTTTTATGTGTGATGTAACGAATGGGTCCAAGTTCATTCTTTTTGTATGTGGGCATGCAGTTGTCCCAACACTATTTATTTAAAAAAACTACTCTTTCTCCCATTGAATTATCTTGCCCAAAATCGATTGACCACAAGTGTGAGCATTTACATTACAGGACTCTAAATTCTGTTCCACTAACCTACATGTCTGTACTTGGGCCAGCACCACACTACTTTGATTACTGTAGTTTATAGTTATTTTGAAATCAGAAAGTATGAGTCATCAAACTTTGTTTTCCTTTTTCAAGATGGTTTGGGCTGTTCAGGGTCCCTTGCATTTCCATATGAATTTTAGCACCAGTTTATCAATTTCCACACACACAAAAAAATAGGGTTTTGATAGAGACTACATTGAGTCAGTAGGTCAGTTGGGGGCATTGTTGCCTTAACGGTGTTAGTCTTCTGGTCCATGAGGACAGGATGTCTTCCCACCTATTTAGGTCTTCCTTAATTTCTTTCAACACTGTTTTGTATTTGTCAGAGACCAAGTTTATGCTTCTTTTGTTAATGTTATTCTTTTTGATGCTCTTGTAAATAGAACTGTTTTCTTAATTACATATTCAGATTATTCATTGCGTAATTAATTTTTGTCTGTTTATCTTGTATCCTGCAATCTTGCTGAACTCATTTATTAGTACTAATAGTTTTTTTTAGTGGATTCCCTAGGATTTTCTATGTATAAGATTATACCTTCCGAAAACAGGGTTAGTTTACTTCTTCCTTTCCAGCTACTTTGTGTTTCTGACTCTTGCCTAGTCTCCCTGGCTGGAGCTCCCAGGGCGGTATGGGAAGAAGTGGTGAGCGCAGGCCTCCTTGTCCTGTGCCTGACCTTCGGGGAAGTTTCAGTCTCTCGCCGCTGAGTGTGACTTTTGCTGTGGGTTTTTGTAGATGTCCTTCCTCACACTGAGGAAGCCCTCCTCCTGGTTTGCTGAGTGTCTTTATCATTATAGGTTATTGGATTGGACAGGAGCTTTTCAGCATTTATTGAGATGATCATGTGGTTTCTGTCCTGTATTCTATTCATATGGTTTATTGATTTTCAGATATTAAGCCAATCTTGCATTCCTAGGATACATCCCCACTTGGTCATGGTGTATAATCCTTTTTATATGTTATTAGATTTAGGTGTGGTTTTTTTTTCCAGCAGTTTACTCTGATGTGCTAATATGATTTGTGTGTGTGTTTATTCTAGTGAAATTCTCCATCATTTTATCCGTTTTCTTAAATATATTAACTGTAAAATTATAAATTTCTTCTCTAAGTAACTGCAGTGCATAGGTCACTGGTGAGTCTGCCTCTTTTAAATATATTTTATTGATTTTTTACAGAGAGGGAGGGAGAGGGATAGAGAGTTAAAAACATCGATGAGAGAGAAACATCGATCAGCTGCCTCCTGCACACTCCCTACTGGGTATGTGCCTGCAACAAGGTACATGCCCCTGACTAGAATCGAACCTGGGACCTGTGAGTCCGCAGGCTGATGCTCTGTCCACTGAGCCAAACCTGTTAGGGCGAGTCTGCCTCTTTTGTCTGTTGTTTATCTCGGCCTCGGTCACTGGGTCTGTTGTCAGTGGAATGCTGGGAGTTACGTCTGAAAGTGCAGAGGCTCTGGCTGCAGGCCTCCTCTGGAGAGGGTGTGCTCCTCTCCTGGAAGGCAGCTCACAACTGGGGGCCCTGAATTCCAGCTTTTCTCCCCTAGGAAGGCGAGACGACTGGAATGCCTCCAGCCGGCTACACGTTGCTTTGTTTCTCAGCTCCTTGCTTGCACGATGGCAGCTTAGGAATGGCAGGTGCCTCTGTGGGAGTCACTTTAGAGTCGCTTTCGCCGGTCCCTTGCTTGCTGGCAGCACCGTCTGTTGGTCTGAGGGCCTCCCACCAGAATTGGCATGTGCCCCCCCCCCGCCCGCCCCCTCTGGGAGAAGAGTGCAGTGGTGGTCGGTCGTCTGCCTGCAGTTCCCTCGGCCAGGGCCTTGGCCCTCTGGTACCCAGAGCCTTTGTGGCTCTTCATTGCATAGAAACACCTGGAGTTTCTGTTGGTTTTATTCTGTTCGTCTTTCATAGTCTCAGCAGGAGAACTGGGTCTAGTCCGGCTTCCTTTTCACAACTGGAAGTCCCACCTGATGAGTAGCTCACTTATTTCTGGAAGGGCACCTGTTCATGCCATCTGTTCCGCTCTCCCCAGGATGCAGTGTCAGCCTTACTCGCAAGAACATCGGCGGAGCTGCTGGCCGTGGAACAAGAATTAGCACAAGAAGAAGAAGAACCGGGGCCGGGAGAGGAGCAAAGGGGTCCAGATGGAGACTGGTAAGGCCTCCCCCTCCTTTTGCTGTTGGGAGCTCAAGGAGGATGCGCTCCGTTTCTCATAAGAAACTTTCAGCCCGGCCTGTGGCTCAGTGGTTGAGCGTCGACCTAGGAACCAGGAGGTCATGGTTCTACTGATCAGGGCACATGGCCGGGTTGCAGGTTCGATCCCCAGGAGGGGGCGTGCAGGAGGAGGCAGCCAATCAATTATATATAAAAAATTTTAATTTTTATGTATAACTAGAAGCCCGGTGCGTGAAATTCGTGCCCTGGGGGAGGGGGGGTCCCTCAGCCAGCCTCCACCCTGTCCAATCTGGGAGCCCTCAGGGGTGTCAGTAGAGTTTGTACAGAACACATATGTTGTGAAGCCCCCACTTATCACAGCACCGAAACCCATGCCATGGCTTTTGTTGACGACAAGGTCACACGGCTTGAAGGGTCTTCTGTTATTTCAATAGTAAAACTCCCTTCCCACGGCTTCTGCCCCTGTGGACCCTGAGCTCAGGGGATCATGGGTATTTTTACTCCTCATGTCTTTATCCACGCTTAGCAGAGAGTCACTCTGTTCCATTCTACAGTTAAGTTTACAAGACATGGCCCAGCCAGCATGGCTCAGTGGTTGAGCGTCGACCTAAGAACCTGGAGGTCACGGTTCGATTCCCGGTCAGGGCACATGTCTGGGTTGTGGGTTTGATCCCCAGTGTGGGGTGTGCAGGAGGCAGCCAATTAACGATTCTCTCTCATCATTGATGTTTCTATCTCTCTCTCCCTCTCCCTTCCTCTCTGAAATGAATAGAACTATATTTTAAAAATTTTTTATAAGACACGGACAACTAACACCAAGTTATATTCTAGGGAGTGACAGTATTTTAAACGGCGGGGCTAACCTTAATATTTGATTTTCAGTATATTTCTATCTTAATCTGTAGGAATTAGGTCAAATTGCATGAGTTTGGCATTTTCATACCTAACTATGGTGACTTTGCTGTCGGTTGCTGGAGAGAACTTTATTTTTCATGATCATTTAGTAAACAGGGCTTGGATTGTGATGTGTGTCCACGGTTCCCTGCCCTGGTACCAGGTGGAGGTCCCAGGATGCACTGTGCTGGGACACGCTGGCTGGACTTAGAGTGTGTCTCGCTTCGTTTCTCCGAAGGTTGGCGATGCTGAGAGAGGCCTCTGACGAAGTGGTGGCTGAGGAAGAGGCCGACATGGCATTGCCCGGGGACAGCAGGCGAATGGGAGACCTAAGCTCATGCCCGAGTGTGCCCGAGACAGCTGAAGACACGAGGAGGGGAGGAAACAGCTGTGCCAACAGCCCTGGCAGCCAGCCCCCTCCGGGAATGCCCACCCTGGTGAGTACTTCCAGCTGCACTGTCCCCAGGCAGGGCTCTTATAGGCACCCTGTCGGCTGAGTTTGTCTCTTCGGGTATAACCACACCAAGACTTTGCAGAAGCTGATCGCCATAGGCATCGATGGAGTCGGCTATCAGAAGCATCGTAAATGCTTTAAAATTGTACCAGGTGTACCGGTTAATAACGCGGATTTTGTAATCAAAGAAAACACGATAATTTCAAGAGAAACATCAAAAGTGCTTTATTCAAAGTAATGTCCATTGCTAGCTACATATTTCCCCCATCTTTCAGGTAATTTGTGAATACTATCCCAATAGAACTTTTCTTGTTTTGAGGCAAACCATTCAGAGACCCAATTTCCCACTTCTTCGTACGTTTTGAAGTGCTGCTCAGAAAGTGCGTGTGCCATCGATCGGAACAAGTGGTAATCTGAAGGAGCAAGGTCTGGTGAATACGGCGGGTGGGTTAATACTTCCCAGGCAAGATCTTTAAACGTGTCTTTAACTGGTTTTGAAGTGTGTGATGGTGCGTTATCATGAAGCAAAATTATTTTGCCATGTCTTCTGGCACATTCTGGTCATTTCACGATCAAAGCATGGTTCAAATTGATTATTTGTTGTCGGTAGCGATCCGTATTAACGGTTTCACCTGGTTTTAAAAGCTCATAATACACCACACCTTCCTGATCCCACCAAACGCAGAGCATTGTCTTCTTTCCAAAGCGATTTGGCCTTGCAGTCGATGTTGACGGTTGACCTGGATCAACCCATGATTTTGTGCGTTTGGGATTCTCAAAATAAATCCACTTTTCATCACCAGTCACAATTCAGTGCAAAAAAGACTTTCATGCTGTTGAAGCAAAATTTTAATGATGACTTTTCGGTTTTCCATTTTTCTTTCGTTCAGTTGATGTGGCACCCATTTTCCTTCTTTTAAAATCTTTCCCATTGCTTATAAACGATCGGAAATCGTTTGCTAAGCAACATTTAATCTTTCTGCAAGTTGTTTTTGAGTTTGACATGCATCTTCATCCAATAATGCTTGTAATTGTTGGTCTTCAAACTTTTTTGGTAGACCTGGATATTATTTGTCTTTCACATCGAAATCATCACTTTTAAAGCGTTTAAACCAGTGTTCACTGGTATCTTGAGATGGAGCATGTTCACCATAAGTTTCCCAAAGTATACGATAACTTTCAGCAGCACTTTTCTTCAAAATAAAGTAATGAATTAAAACTTCCCGCAAATGCTCTTTTTTTGGCACGAAATTTGACATTTTTTCCCCCTAATCCCCTCAAGGTCGGCATTCTGCGAAATTTGACATTTTTAAGCGTAAAAATATCTATGATGTTAACGCCTTCAGAAAATTTGACATATGAAGTTTTGAAGCGTGCTGTCAATACAACAAAATAGCATACATATCAAATCGCATATAAACATATGTGAAACTCCATCTATTGAAAAAAATCCGCATTATTAACTGGTACACCTGGTAAATGGGCCCCAAATATTCATTCCCCACTTAGCTTTTATAGGAGAAGGTAAATAGTGGTACTTAGATCTGGTGACTGCTCTGTGAGTGTTTCTTAAAAGCATTTTCAGAATTTCCTGGGTGACACCAGGATGATTACTTAATTGCATTAAGTTTCATAAATGTTGTAAGTTTATTTCCACTTCAAACATGCAGTAAACATTTAAAGTTCACGCCTGTTAGAGGGTGTTCTGATTGGAGGTGGCAGATGACCCAGTCCAGGCTCAGGCTAGTTCAGTGGCAGACACATTGAGGGGACATTATGTTCAAGCTTTGAGGGTGCCGGCAAACTTGGGATGTTATAACAAGCTTAGACAATTCCTTATTCCTGAGAAAAGCAATACCGCATGTTCCCTGGCTGAAAACTTCATATGGGTGGGTACGTATAGCTGCATAGTCCACGTAAGCCTATAACTTTGCAGTAGATTTCATTTTCTTGTTTAATTACCTTTATCCTTTATTCTGGAAAAAGCACTCATCCGTTGAATGCTATTTAATGATGAGGCATGTCCAGATAAGATTGTTCATAGAGCCCGTTTACCTCTGTCAACGGAAACCTTCATTCTTTAGGCCTAATCTGTTAGGACAGAGATCACCCTACCCACCCCCTCCGTGGTCGTCTCCTGGGGTCCCTTCAGGAGTCACGAGGCCCCTCTCTCAGAAGAGGCCCTGGTGCTGGATGGGTCTGTGGTGTTAGGTTAGGTCTTTCTTTTGTCCTTAGAAGAACGGGGCATAAATGAGCCCACGTGTGTCAGCTCCTGACGAAGGCCTTCCATTGCAGGTTGATAAGGAGACAAACACAGAGGAGGCCGAGGACGCCGGCCTGGCGGTTCGGCCCAAAGAGCACAGCGGGCTGAGCGCGCGGCAGCGCCCCCTGGTGAGGAGCAGCGTGATCGTGCGCTCGCAGACCTTCTCGCCCGGGGAGCGCAGCCAGTACATCTGCCGGGTAAGGACCAGGCCCTGCCCAGGGCGGAACATGGTACATGCCCGGGACATGCACATGTGGTGGGCATCTCAAACTCCGACCACAGATAGGAACCGCTAGGAGTGCTTTCATAAAATACTCATAAATATCACACTCTTGTGGTTCGTTTTAGTTTGGTTTTGGGGTCCCCCCCTTTCCTAAATTTAATGCCTCATTGGCTCTAGGGCCATTTATTTGGCAAATATGTGAAGTTGCAGACCTGGCTACTGAGTACACTTGGACTTGGGTCTGTATTTAGAAACTGCAGGTGATCTGAGGGTTATCTTTTGTAGACCTCTGTGCACGTTACACACCACGTTGGTCCTGCTGGACCAAAAACTGTGAATTGGGTTTTAGAACCAAGTCATCTTTTAGTGATGGCGCTAGGCACCGAATCAGGTTCACAGTTCTGTGGCGAATGTTGTGGGACTTATACCAGTTTACCCACCTCTAGTTCCAGTAGAATTTATGGCTTCTAGTAATATAGGTTCAGTATTATAAAATCGGGTGGAAAGTGCTGTTATAATGTATTTGTTTGACTCAACAAATGTGTTTATTAGCACCTGCTGTTAAGCATGTTTCTAGCTCCTTGGGATCTGTCTGAACCAGGGACCCAAGCTCTGCCCTTGCAGAGCTGCGTTCTTGTGGGCCGAGCCCAGCGATGAGCAGTGGACACGATGTGTCTGGGATGGGGACAGGGCTGTGAAGGCGAGGGGCTGGGATGCTGAGGCGAGGGGCGCAGGTTTAAGTAGGTTCGAGTGGGCTCACTGATGAGGTGACATTTCAGCAACTCCCTGGTGCCGGCGAGGGGGAGCGAATGGGCTGACTGGGCTAAGAGTTGTCTAGGTTGTGCAAACTGTGTCTCAACGCCAACCTGTACATCAGCTTTTCTTTTAAAAATAAATGTTGTGGGCCCTAGCCAGTTTGGGTCAGTGGATAGAGCGTCAGCCTGCAGACTGAAGGGTCCCAGGTTCGATTCTGGTCAAGGGCACATGCCTGGGTTGTGGGCTTGATTCCCAGTAGGGGGACATGCAGGAGGCAGCCGATCAATGATTCTCCCTCATCATTGATGTTTCTGTCTCTCCATCTCCTTCCTCTCAGAAATCAATTTTTTAAAATAAAATTAAATAAATGTTGGGGGGGAAAATAAATAAAATTAAATAAATGTTGCATATTCGCTGAAAACAAAAAGGATCATTTTCTGTCAGAGTCTGTGCAATTATCTTAACCATGACTTCTGATAACTGCCACCAGAAGGCACTTGTTTAAATTATTCCCAAAGATTAAGTCATTTAAGGAAAAAACGGCACAGGGCAAAGCGTGTTTGGGGAGGATTTTCTGTAAGAGATAAGCTGTTATCACCATCCCTTTGTCGGCTCTGTTATGCAGTGATTTTCTTTCTTTTTTTAATCCTTTATTCCAGTTAAATCGCAGTGACAGTGACAGCTCAACCCTGGCTAAAAAGTCTCTGTTTGTGAGAAACTCCACTGAGCGGCGCAGTTTGAGGGTCAAAAGGGTACGTGTTCCGTCAGCACCGCCCGGTCCTACCCCACCCGGAGTCCTGGCTGCCGCGTCCGCGCCGACTGGCTCTTAGGCTCTTGAGTGAAGCCGCTGTGATGACAGGGATGCACATGTTCCAGACCTTCACGCTAGGAGGTTCAAGTTTCAGTCCCTTCTCTCTTCTGTCAAATAGTCCAGCTTCTATTAGTAATCTCCTATTTTCCATTCCCGCTGCCAGCTCTGTAGGCAGGAAGTGCCCTCCTGTTCCCCTGCGTATGGTCTCGCCCAGCCTCCTTTGAAGTCCTGTCCCCAGGCCAGTCCGGCCCAGGCTGAGCGACCGCCCTCCCCTGAGTCCTGTGGCACAACGGTCCCACCTCACAGTCTCCTCCAGCCTCTAACTCCTCCTCAAGGTCACACACTGCCCTCCCCTCCCCTGAGTCCTGTGGCACAGGATCCCCACCTCACAGACCCCCATGTCCTCTAACTCCTCCTCAAGGTCACACACTGTGTCCTCTCCCTAGGGTTTTGCCCACAGACCCCAGCGGACATTCATTCATACATATTCAGGTTTTTTATTGATAAACCAATAAGACTGGCTGCAGGAAGAACAGCCGAGATGCGGGGGTGAGAGCTGATATGAGATGATGGGAAACGGAGGAAGGGGCCAGGATTGAAGCGTTGCTTAGAGGAGGGATCAGATCTGAGCCCCGCCGACCGCGGCCTTCCAGCCGGCACTCACAGGCATGAGGCAAAAGGTGTGAGCGCGGGGAGAGTGTGTGTCCTGAAATGAAGGACTTTAGGTTCCGCACACTCATTGGTTTTCCCAGAGGGCGGCCTTCGTGCAGCCGAGTGGCCAGGCCGAGGAGGCTCTCTATGGTGATAACGGGAAAGTCTCAGGCTGGAACAGTGAAGGTTTGCTTCTTGCTCAGCACTTGCTCATGCTGTTTGGCTGGGTATCCTGCTGCTGTGTCCTCCCTCAGGACCCGTCTCGGATGCAGCGGGTGCAAGAAGCGTGCAGACTGACACTGGTGTTGAAAGCTTCCGCCTGGAGTGACACACGGCACTGCCGCTGACCGTCACTGGCCAGGGCTCGTCACTCGGCGGGCGAGGCCTCCCCTGGGAGCCAGGAGCTGCCACCCCCGGTGCCAGGAAGCAGGGGCAGCGGGTGACAGGGGCGGTGCGCTCAGGGTGTTTCGTGGTTTGTTTTCCAACCTCCCAGGCGGTTTGCCAGCCCGTCCTCCGAAGAGCGGCCCAGGAGTGCCCGGTGCGCACGTCCCTGGACCTGGAGCTGGACCTGCAGGCCTCGCTCACCCGCCAGAGCCGCCTCAACGACGAGCTGCAGGCGCTGCGGGACCTGCGGCAGAGGCTGGAGGAGCTGAAGGCCCAGGGGCAGACGGACCTCCCGCCCGGCGTGCTGGAGGACGACCGCTTCCAGAGGCTGCTGCGCGAGGCCGAGAAGCAGGTACAGCCCCGGGCGCCGCGCCGCCTGGGGGGTGGGAGGGCAGCGTCCCTCCAAGGCTGCCTCCTCGCCTCCTCAGCTGGCTCGGCTCTTCAAACCCCTTTCCAACAGCTTGGAGCACCTTTCTGTTGTGGCCTTTTTAAACCCAGGATGTAGCTGAGAGTGGTCCTGCCACCCGGTGCCGTCAGAGGGGCCGCCCCTCCGCCGCTCCACACCCCATCCCGCAGCCGCTCTGGGGCCACTGGCCTCCGGACCCAGGGGAGCGTGCAGCGAGGGCAGCGGTCTTCACTTCTCCGCGTTTTCCTTCGTCTCCACATGAGACTTGGCAGATAAACACAGTAAAACTTTTAACACCAGTGGTCACCTGTGTTTGAAATTGCGTGGCCACATCACCGTGGATGTACCCCTAATTTTAACGCTCCCGAGTTTCCACATTCTGTTACCTTCAGGGAAGGTCACGCTGCACACATTCTCCCTTCACACATTCCCCCTACAAACGGCTGTATAAAACAGCATAGAAAATCCCTGATTTAAAAATAGGGTATTTTAAAGGAAAATTTCTATTAGTTTCCCTCCTAAATAGAAAGTTCAAGAGCCTTCATATTGATGACATTGATTTATTCTCTCAAGATTAGAGTTTATATTTTAGTATAGGAGCATATGTTTACATCTATAATAATAATAGTGTAATATGCTAATTAGACCAGACGTCCTTCCAGACGAAGCCGTGGTGGCGGCGGGGGACAAGCCCCTTGCACGAATTCCATGCATCGGGCCTCTAGTCAACATATAATATACAAATAGAATTGTCCGCGTAGCTGAATTATTACAAATGCCAAAACATTATTTTCTTTCAACCCTTTTGGATGGAAATCTGAAATAGATTCGTCGCCTCCTTAAATCTAATAGAAGCTTCTGTCCATAATATAAACTCTTTTCGGCCCAAAATGATTTCTTAATCATATAGAGTATGGTACTTTAGTGAAACTTTGAGTCATTTAACTGACTAGCACTACTAATTCTAGATGGAACTCAGAGATAAAATTTCAGAGATCAAACTGATACCAATAACTTTTAAAGAAAGTTTAAGCAACAAAACCTATTATGTATCTGTCTTATATCCCACCTGATAAAAAGAACCCTCTCAGAGAATGTCTGTTCAGCAGGGAGTTGAATGGTAGGTCTCCTATTAGATGCCACAGCAGATAACAGGGTAATTAGACACTGTCATGCCCTTGAAGGGCTTGTGGTTTGGTATAGGAGATGAGCCAGAAAGGCTTCCTGGAGGAAGTGGCATTTCCCTGGTCTGGAAAGTGGGTGGTGAACTTCGTCCCAGGCAAGGGTGCAGAGGCCAGCAGTGGGGTCCCAGCACTGACAGCACAGGCCCCGGAGCGCTCCCGGCAGGGAAGGGCCACGGACGGGAGCCTCTAGGACAGCAGTCTTTCTGAAAAATGCAATGTTGAGTTAAAGGCTGAAATGCCCTAGCCCTATGTTTGTGACCTTAATAACCATCATCGTCTTCACTCTCGAGTCTTTCAATTCAACATTAGCACTAATTCCAAACGGTTGGTTGACCTTGACCAACTTTAATATCCTGAAGAAGCATTGCAGTCTCTCACCCTCATGGGTCAAAGGTTTGCAAAGCTGGGTTCGAGTTTTACGACTAGACATGAGCGGGACTTTACATCTTCGCATTTTGTAAACAGAGCCTGCCAGGCGGCCATGCTGTTCGCAGTCAGGTGCTGGTGACGCTCGGCTGGTCCCTGGAGGAGCGTAGGAAATTGGGAAGTTCTGGTTCCCATCCGGTGGGGTGGCCTGGGTGTGTCCAGACCGTAGAAGTTCTCTGAGCTGTACACTTATGTCACCTTTTGGGAATGTGAATTCTATTTCCGTTAACAGCTTTTAAATGGCTAAGACAGAGAAAGGGGTTGAAAAGGTGGATAAGGGGTTGAAAGTATGTTTCCCAGAACGTCAGCAGTGGACGTTCCTTGGACATGATGCTAGGGTAGTTTTTCATTTCCTTTCTGAGGGTTCTGAGGTTTTCCAGCTGCCTAAACAGTCACCCTGCCTGGGAAACAAGGCATTTTTAATGTGATACCACGGACAAGCCCGAATCCGTGGCCGCTGCACCTCCGCAGGGTCTTGCACTTGAGTGTCGTCCGCGGTGGTGAGAAGACTCCACCCCGTCGGCCGCCGAGTGCCCGCTGGCTTTAGTTTGTATCCTTGAAGCCTGTAGCCGTCTCTGGGTGTCTCTGATTGGGGTTTATTTCTTTGCCAGGCTGAGCAGTCCAAAGAGGAGCAGAAGCAAGACCTGAACGCGGAGAAACTGCTGAGGCAGGTCTCCAAGGACGTGTGTCGGCTGCGGGAGCAGAGCCGCAAGGTGCCTCGGCAGGTGCAGTCCTTCAGGTAACCGGCCTCGGCTCACGTGGGGGTGGCTCACGTCGGGGCGTCCTCACGCGTCTGAATCACAGAGAAGCCCCCTCGAGTGCCCTGGGCCTTAGTGTCGGGGTGTGAGACGCCCAGCCCTCTCCTCCCAGGGGGGACGGGTGAGTTTCCCTTTGCTCCTCCGGGGCCAGAGGAGCTGGCGCGGTGCCCGCGGGGTCCGCCCGCCGGAGGGAAAGGCAGCCGAGGCGGCGTGGGCTTCAGACTCTGAAAGACGAGTCTGGGCCACAGACTCCGTGGTGAAGAGTCGGGTTCCCCCCGCCCCGCTGCTGCAGACGCACCGTGACAGGGAAGGTGCTCCCGGGGTCCCGCTCGGCGTGAGAGTCTGTGCGCCCTCGGTGCTGTGGGCACCAGGAGGTGCTCCGGCAGGGAAATCGCACGACCTGGCTGCTGCTAAAACCCAAAATAGAGGTTTATAAACACTCCCCTGGCCCTTAACGTACAAGCCCGTTACACCCCCGGCAGGTGATGGAGACGCGTGAGACGGGCCGGCCTGGGGGTGAGGTGGGGAGCGTGGGCTGGCGACTGCACCCGGCTGCCGTTGCACTTGGAGCCAAGAGCCAGCGTCCCTGGCCTTGGGTTTGTCCGAGAAGCGAGGAGTGGGGAGTTTTATGTGCGGGTCTCACACAGGACTGGCAGCTAAGCGAGCAGCTAGATGCCCCACGCGAGCCAAGCAGCCCCTGTGCAGGCCGTGTTCTGGGGTCCCCTTCTGCTTCAGCCACCCCCAACCACACCCACTTGCCTTTTTCAATGCTCACTCTTCCCTCTTATGGAATGGAGCCAACCACCAGCACCTTCCACCACAAAATGGCTCTCGCTCCTGTTTCCATCGTTTTCTCACTCTTCCTTTCTTGCTGTCTCTTTTCCGTGGTCTTTCCACCTCGGCTCTGGCCTCCAACCCTCACCTGCTCCCCATCCAGACCGTGTGGTTCTTGGGTGGGCGGTGCCTCGTCCCCTCGGCTCCCGTGGGTCCGCGAACGAGACCCGCTCAGTAAGCGTGATGGACGGCGCGAGCCAGGGAAGATCCTGTGGGGAAGGGCAGGTGGCTCCTGTCTGGCAGCTAGAAAGGCCCAAAGCCTCCCTGCTCCCCTCTCTGACCTCTGGAGAGCCGCCGCCTCCTCCGCTGCCCCCTCGGGCAGTTTCAGCTGGTCCTGCTCCGGGCACAGGACAGGACAGCGTTACCATCTTCTCCCCTCCCCGAGGCACCCTGCTGCTCACCGGGCTGGTCGTCCTGGTTTTAAAGTGTTCCCCGTGCCACAGAGTTTTCTCTGAGGTTCCTGCAAAGTTCCCTCAGGTTTCAGCCTCTGAACCCTCTCCTACCGGGTTCAGAAACACTCCTACCTGGGCTGGCCCCCCGATGGTTTAAAACTGCCTCACGTTGGAAACCCAGCAAGGAAGGCACTGTCCCTGTCATGGTCTCGGGTGACAGACATGGTCTATGGGTGAGGACGTGTCTGTGGGTGATGGACGTGGTCTGAGGGTGAGGACGTGGTCATGGGTAAGGACGTGTCTGAGGGTGAGGATGTGGTCTGAGGGCGATGGACGTGTCTGTGGGTGAGGACGTGTCTGAGGGTGATGGATGTGTATGGGGGTGAGGACATGGTCTGCGGGTGAGGACGTGGTCTGCAGGAGAGGACGTGGTCTGCAGGAGAGGATGTGGTCTGGGGGCGAGGACGTGTCTGCAGGCGAGGACGTGGTCATGGACGTGTCTGGGGGTGAGGACGTGGTCACGGGTGAGGATGTGGTCTGCGGGTGAGGACGTGGTCTGAGGGTGAGGACGTGGTCATGGGTGAGGACGTGGTCTGGGGTGAGGACGTGTCTGGGGGTGAGGACGTGTCTACGGGTGAGGACGTGGTCGCGGGTGATGGACGTGGTCGCGGGTGAGGACGTGGTCTGAGGGTGAGGACGTGGTCTGCTGGTGAGGACGTGGTCTGTGGGTGATGGACGTGGTCTGGGGGTGAGGACGTGGTCTGCGGGTGAGGACGTGGTCTGCGGGTGAGGACGTGGTCTGCTGGTGAGGACGTGGTCTGCTGGTGAGGACGTGGTCTGCGGGTGAGGACGTGGTCTGGGGGTGAGGACGTGGTCTGTGGGTGATGGACGTGGTCTGTGGGTGAGGACGTGTCTGCGGGTGAGGACGTGGTCTGCGGGTGAGGACGTGGTCTGGGGGTGAGGACGTGGTCTGTGGGTGATGGACGTGGTCTGTGGGTGTGGATGTGGTCAGACGTGGTCTGCAGGTGACGGATGTGGTGTGCAGGTGGTGGACGGGAGCCAGAGCTGGGGTCCTTCACCCGCTGTGAAGGGCAGAGGCCCTTGATTTTAAGCGGAGGTCTCCCTCAGGACAAGAGCTCGAGGGGACTCCGCAGGAGGCCATGACTGTTTCTGCTGGTCGCAGTGTGTTCAGCACCACACTGAGGGGGGTTTGTTCCTCGCCCGACTCTAGGGAGAAGATCGCCTACTTCACCCGAGCGAAGATAAGCATCCCGTCGCTGCCGGCCGACGACGTGTGACGCGTCCTGCAGAAATGGGTGTCTCCCCGGCCCCTTAGGGAGGAAGAGACTGAGCACTGTGGTGGGTCTGTCGGGGGGAGGGTGTGTAACTGTCAACTCTCAAAGAGCTGTTATTTCTCATCAGAATTTCGACATGCTAATTTGTAAAGGACTTGGAATATAATTCTTATATAAAAAGGTAAGAAAAGTCAGGTAACCAAGCGGGCTCATCCGGTGCCCAGATGTTGTACAGCAGGAGTGGGTTGTAAACGGAATCGGGCGGAGCCAGGGCTGACCTGGCGAACCGGCCGAGGCGGCTCTTGCTCTTCCTGGTTTTCCTGCGAAGGCCGGGAAGCTGGCCCGAGCGCCCGCGGTGACTTGTACTCGAGAGCAGCAAGTTCAACGTGAATGAGCTTCGTAGCGGAGCTCCAGGGCCACCTGAAGCAGGTGCTGTGTTC